TGATAAAAAACGAAATCAAAATTTTGCAATTTTAACGCAGACCCTTACTTAACATTCAGATTTTCACGCGAATTTTCTCAATATAAATCAAGAACCATTAGAAACAAAAAAATAATGATTGACCGTTACTGAGATATAATTCATTAAAATCTGGAACCGAACGTAAATCGAAAGGTTACCATTTGCACTTTTGAACGTGACTATCTCTGAACAATTACCTTAAATTGCTTCCGCGGTATCGGGAAATAATTCCCAACGAAAACATTGTCCCCGATCGAGGTTCGCCAGGTAAAAAATTCAAAGCTCAATTTCTCTGCGACGAACGTCGTAACTCCTGTGTAAATTGACCTCTATTCTCGAGCGGCGGAACGCTGGCAGGAGAGCACCTCGCTGCACACGCGTCGAAGTCACCGGTGGGAGGCCTCTGCTCCACCTTTCGTTTGACTTTGACAGTTCCATTATGGTATCGAAGCTAACGGCAAACAGTACCGTGCTTGACGCTAGCGAATCAACGTGTGCGGCGATACGTCGAGGTATTCCCCTCGCTGTTTCCTTCTTAACCGCGATGGATGCCGTGTTCTACGCTTCGATAGGCCTTATCAAGCGACGTGCACGCGAGATATCGGTTCCTTCGTTTAAACGCAGAAATAAGCTATTTCGTCTCGATATTTTCGTTCGTCGCGATAGCATATTCGTTTCTTTGTTTATTTCGACGGGGCGGACAGTGCAAAGTGCAGGAAGCATTTAACTAGTGCGAAGTGAATTAATTAATAGCAAATTACGCGAAGTAAAATCTTTGCAAATGTGCCTAGAAAAATTTGAAATTAATAGCAATTCCGTTTACCATGGAAATCTTTATATTCTATATTATTACACGTAGTGTATACATTTTGCTCTTTGGTGTACATTCAAATTTCCTATGAATGCGTAAAAATCCGCGATCTAATTATTACGATTTATGGGTTGCGAACGACGTGACGCCACAGTGGGTCTGACGAAGTAAATATAGCAAATGAGGAATTGTTATAAAGAAAAATTGAAGAGTCAGTGTTCTTTAATGGGGTCATCCCAGCTCACCGCTTTAACGACTTATCGAATCTTGCTCAACTGGAACCAAAAATGTCGAAACATTGTTGCTATACGAAGTGCATTAAAATTACATCTCTTTTACTTTTCCATCGATTTCGAAGCAGAACTATGGATGCAGTTTGTTCCTAGAAATTATCTACCCCTTGGTTACAATTTCTTCAGAACTAATTTTCGATTTTCTTCCCGCGATAATTTCACAGAGAATTATTTATATCTCCATTGGCGATCGCGGAAGTTACTTCCTTCGTTGATCGAAAAACAAATAGACTTGTGATATTTAAATGGAGAGAGGGGGAAGAGAAAAGTCTGAATTCAAAATATAAATTAAGCCTTCGAATTAAACAGAAATTGCCATTTTTCTATATTTAAATTTACCTCTGACTTCGTCCAAGTGATTAAGAAATTGCAGATTGATACCAATTCATGCGCGAAGCAATGAGTACCGAGACGTAGCGTTACTCGAAATTGGTTCAAGCTATTTTTAACGATTGCAAAATGCTCGAAACCCGCGTGAATTCTCGGTGGCGAGGGATCATCTACTCATCGTTATTCCAAAGCTTTTTCGTACGTGAGTCCTCGATACAGCCATGCTTAACAGGAACAAACGGTATCCATTGACACGTTCCAGTTACACGACCGTAAACTAATTACCTCAAACGATATTTTTTTTTTTTACGATTTATTTATTTTTTGTCATGACATAAGCGTAAACAACTTTAGCCAAATTAAATTAGATATTTTATATTTAGTTGAACTGAATGATTTAATTTAAAGTAACTAAATATAACGAAAAGTTATATACACTTAACTTAAACTTTGATGTATAATTCGATTGTAAATGCATAAAATCTACAGTTTGATCGTCGCTGTCGAGGTTTGAATAGAAAAAATAAATGGACATTCGCGACGATAATTATGACTTTAATAGGAAACACACGGGCCAACAACAAAGTGATCGTAATTATCAAAGTGCCGAATGTAATTAAGTATCATGACCGCGGGCTAATTACGCGCGGAAATGTTTTCACTGGCGGCCTGGCAGTGTTCGCGAGATAAAAGGGACTTTAATTCGCACGTTGCACGCGGTTTGCAAAATACAATTAATTACAGGGAATCCTGTTCTAGTAAATTGTTTCGATGTGACGCAATAATGCATTGTTGGAACCTATTACCGAACAATAGACCCGGAACATCGATCGTTATAATTATATTCGCGTAACGCAATTACACGATTTTCTTACGCTGGCATTAAAAATCCACGAGCTTTAGAACGTATTTTAATTCCATCACTAATTCGATTTTCTTACGCTGGTACTAAAAATCTACGTGCTCTAAAATGTATTTTAATTTCATTTTTAATTCAATTTTCTTGTACTAAAAATCTACGAGCTGTAAAATGTATTTTAATTCCGCTCTGCGATTTCTATTTAACATTCATCCCGGAGTTAAAATACTCCCAAATTTATACATGTTTTCTGAGTGATTTTAATCTACACTAAAGGTTTGATATAATTTAAAGAGGAGAAAAGAAGATTAAGTTACGAATAAAAATAACGAATAACAACTTCGGAGACAATGTTTAAGAAGCATCGTTTGAAACTTGCGTCGACCATTGTCTCCCTTCCATTGAATAATAATATATGTATAACGGGTACTTAAACGAGCAATAGTGAAGCAATAATAAAAGTTTCGTTTCCTGCAGTTCAAACCCCCTCCCGCCTCTCTTTCGTATTTGGCTCGGTTCGTGCTGTTGCATATTAAACGTCGTGTCGTTAGAAAGTTGCCATCGGTTGTCAATTAACCGGAAAAGAGGAACGAGTGAAAACGTCCCCGTATCGGTTGTCCGTATCAAAATGTCGAGCGATCCAGCTGGAAAAACGTCCAAGCGTAAATAAAACGTCGATCATAATCGGGCAACTAGTACTTCGTTAAAAATTAAATCGCTCGACTTTCTTCACGGTCGATTCGCGAGCGTTAAATTAAGTTTCCATTTAATCAGCGGACCTCGTTGTTAAAGACGTTCTATAATAAATTAGACTAGACGTGGAGATTAATTCTGTACCTCTCTAAACTTACCACTTATTTATAAATAAAAACCGTGCGACTTTTCATTTTTGCCTCAGTAATCCGTTCAAAGAGAGCACATACAGTCGCCGTGCCAAATTTCGAAGCAATCTATGACCAGTAAATATTTCCACTTAAAACTAGATCTATAAATAATTATGCGAGTGTAAAGATACGGAATTAATTTCCACGCCTAATAAATAGGAGTTTCAAATGAACTATACAAAAAATTGCTGGACATTTCAAAGCTTCTCCATTTTCGGTGAAAAAAATTTTGAGCCCTTTCGGTGCTGCGGCCCTTCCCCTACCCCCCACCCCTATCGGAATGGGCCTCCAGGAGTTATGCGCAAACTCTGTCCATAACACGCCCATGTGCGTTTGCCGCACGCGCCAGTCGCCCACCACGTGTCACCAGCGAAGGCACGAATCGAATCAATGTGACGTCATGAATCCTGTATCCTTCTTTCTTATGTTTACCACACGACTCTCCCACCAAATTCCCCCTCTACCTGGTCCTCAGCGATCGAAAGGGTCGTACGCGAAACATAACAGTCTTCGCCTCTCCACGTTAAAGGTCTATTGGGTACCGAAATGTACCTCGGATAGTAAGACGCGTCCGACGTCGTTCGACAAACCAAAGAGTACTGTGATAAAGCTGGAACGAAATACGAACCTAGACTTACGCGTCGCCCGTGAAAATGAACCGCGGAACCGCGAGTGAAAACAGTGAGACCACGTCCGGTGATAGTGATCGATTCGCTAGCGATCAGTGAAAGGAAATAATGTTCACGATGATCGAGCCAAGGAACGACAGGGTGTCCGGCCAATCGAGGCATCACTGTTATCAAGTGATCAGGACCACCAGGGTGCACCAGAGTTCCAGGAGCTCGAGGATGGTCACCGTGCAGGAGAAAGTCATCAGGTCGCGGCTCCAATTGGGATACTCCACGCCCACGAACTTCATTAACCGGTATCTATCAGATTGTTTATGCGATATTGGTCGAATAGAGTCCCGAAGGTATACAGGGTGTCCCAAAACTCGCGTAGGAGCCGGAAATGGGAGGTAGCTGAAACGATTCTGAACAACAATTTTCTTTGCAAAAATGTCAGATGGGGCTTCATTTTTGAATTATTAACGAAAACCCGTCGGTCAATCACAGCGCCCAATTAGCGCGCGCTCAGCCGCGAGAGCATAAGCTCGAACCAGGATTGACTGGTTGCGCCAGGTCGCTGCGCAGCCAGCTGAGCGCGCGCTAATCGGGCGCTGTGATTGGTCGGTGTTTTTCGTTAATAATTCAAACACGAAGCTCCACCGACATTTTTCAAAGGAAATTGTTGTTCAGAATCGTCTCATCTACCTCCCATTTCCGGCTGCTACGCGAGTTTAGCGACGCCCTGTTTAATTCCGAGTACAAAGTCTCTACGAGCCTAAACTCGCGCGTGAAAAATAGGTGTTTGTAATTGGGAGATAAAATCAAGTCGAAATTGTGAAATGAATTTTTTTCGTACGAGGTTTCGTTTCCCTGATATTGGGGCTTGAAGTTTTATGGAGCGCGCGCTTGACTCCGTCGAGTCGAGATTAATTGGCCACTCAAGGTCACCGTAGGTTTCCGCCGTACCGCGTTATTTCGCTCGAAATCTTTACAGAACGAAGCTTTATAATTCTAAGAATTTCTACAGTCCTAAATCTCTCATAGCTCTGCAATTATGCATGTATAATTAATATACGCGTATATTATTAACAATAGTACATGGATATTACGAGATATATTTTCATCTAACTTCCAATTCTTTTCTGATATCTCTGAAAATCTAAATTTGCATAAACATCCGCATACTTGAACGCTCCTCTCGTTAGTCAAGAACCGTTACCTATGCATTTTAAAATTAATTCGTTTTTAAAAATCAATTGCTTCGCGAAAAAAAAGGTGCGCATGCACCAGTTTCAACTTGTTCCAGCTTGCGTTTCACAAAAGAAAGTTAATGGAAACGTTGACCGCCATTACCCAGCGTGTTGTTATATCTGGGAAACAAAATCGTAACTTTGCGGTTACTTTTCTATGCCTTGCAACAATGTCTGCCCTAACTCGTGATAACTTCCGGGTGCACGGTCGTTTCGAGTTCGCGATGCATGCTTCGGAGCTACGCGAACAGCTTCCGGCTGCGCTATGGAAATTTTTGATCCGAAGAACCCTTCTGAAACGATTTCGCTGCAACTTAATATATGCGCGGAAGGAAGGGGGAGGATCCCCCGAGCGTGAAGCGCGTTCCCACGAACTGCCTGCTATAAATCTTGTCCCCTCGACTCGAAGAAATAGGTTTTACTGTAAACACGCGAAATTTCATTCTCGTTACGTCGCTGGATCGATCGAAGTTCGTTCTATTATCGATACAACCGTAGTGGGGGGTAACTCGTCGATGACCTTGAGCGGCCAATTGATCACGCTCGCGCCCGCCACGTTGCGCAGACTGTCGACGCTCGACGCCATCCGACTCCCAGTCGCTAAACTGTGGAAATTCATGCAGACCGCGGCTAATTTTGTTTGCATCCACTGCACAGCGACCACTAGCATCGCGGAACGGTGGTTCGTTGGCTCCATCGCGCGGAAAAGACCGCGGTGTCTCGAATTCATTAAAGGAATTATTAAAGCGTGCTCCATTACCAGGGGCCGCGGCGTCCCGACTAATTAGCATCGAGCAATTAACAACCGTTGATTGCCATTAACGGTGCGTGCAAGTGTGCTAGACTATAGTGATCCTCCCCTCCCCGTGCGAGATATAATTTCCTCTTCTATCGGCAACACGCGAGCAGGGAGCATCTCGATAGAAGTGGATCTCAACCCCCTCTACAAGCGGGGGTGGAAGTAGTCGACTAAATTATTCGATCATTTTCTAATTCAAATTTTATTTGGAAGAAAAGTCGTAGGAAATTATTAGACGAATTTTGTACATTTATGATAGAAAGTAACGTGTAGTAAACACAGAAAAGTTATGGCTCTCTTGCAAAATGGAATAACAATATTATTATGATAACTGTAGAATATATTTAAACGTAAATGATACATATTTTACGTATGATATAAATTAATATAATAAATAGATGTTGAACATAATCAATAGGTACGTGCTCTTATGCAACATGAAATAATAATATTATTATAATAATAATTATGGAATACATTCAACATTCATTCTGTACATTTTTTCTATATTATTATATGTCATAGATATATACAGGGTGTCCCAAAAATGGAGGTCCTTGAAAGCGGTGGTTCAGGGAGTGATTTGAAACAATTTTTTCCTTAGAAAAAAATGTTATCCGAGGCTTTGTTAGGGAGATATTAACAGATAACCCCGATCAATCAGAGCGCGAGTAGCCTACGCCACTGCGGGTCACCCACTTCGCCATACTCGCGCTCTGATTGGTCGGGGTTTTACTGTTAATATCTCCTCAACGAAGCCTCGGACAACATTTTTGCTGAGGAAAAAGTTGTTTCAGATCACTCCCCGAAATCTCTCCGAAACATCTTTCAAGGACCTCTAACATTTTTGGAACACCCTGTATAATCCGCAGTCCAGTGGTCGCGAATGAAGTGGACGTTCGTTGCAAGAACCTCTTTATTTATTTTCGAGGCGAACCAAATACATTGTTATTAGCCTAACAGTGAGACGAGTCCATGAATAATTCAGACGCGGGTTTACAGCTCTAATTGGGACCGTTTTCTTACGACAACTCGAACGTTGGATTTACCCGTTCTTCCCCGCCCCACCCTCTGCCAGAGGGCGACATTTCTCTTCGCGAATAATAACGTGAAATCACGTGACCTCGTTCGCGATATTAACAGTACGAGGTGAATCGACAGAAACCGAAGCAAAGTCAATTTCTAATATTCCGTGAGAACGGAACGTTCAATTAGCACGTAATTAGCGTAAGCGCCATGTTTGATAAATAATTAGAAAATGGTAGAAAAAGATTATTAATTTCCAAGCTGGCGCGACTAATGACGAGATCCTTTTTAACACGTTGATCGCCACGTCATCTATATATAGGTGACAGTGCGTTTCACTGAAGAAGTAAAAAAATTCATTTTGAAAGTCGAGCATGAAAGGAAATGAATTTGAATGAAATTCGTGAATTTTGATGAAGTTGAAAAAATAAATACCACGATAAACGTTTGATTATATAGTTTCCAATATTCTAAATAATATTTTATTGTAGCAGAAATTTTCAAGAATATTTATCTGGCAGTCGACGTGTTAACGGTTTTCCCGCGAGTTCTTTTTCTAAATTGCTTGAAATTTAGCGGCGATTCGGATAGGAAATTCATGGTAATAGTTTTGAAAAAAAGTATTTCTGGAAAATGTATATAGTTGTATACAGTTCTGGATATAGGATTAAGAAGCAACAGGATTGCTGTTTTCATACGATACGATTTTTCCATATGCCTGCCATCGCGAATGCAACATTCGGGGCGTTTTGTATTTATAGTTATCGAACAGTCGTAATCAATAATTGACGGTACGCTAATTATAAACGAAGGACAATTTGGTACAATGTCCAGGGCAGACGTATCTCTGTATTGCACATACATTCGCGAGCAATCGATACTGGGTGTTTCAATATTCCTGGAATTCCAAAAATACAAACCTTTTCGATAGAAAGTCTCTTTCATCATTTTCGACTGGTCGATTCATAATATTCGCACCAAAAAGATCACGAATTCTTTTTCTATCTATTCACGAGTGCTCTAGTTGAATCCCTTTAATAGTCACAATTCTGAAACATCCTATACATTCTTCCGGGAATACTAAAAGCCTCGCGGTCAATTCGAGACAAAACGACTGCTGGAGCCCTTTGCGATTGCGTTTCCCTTTTAAATCGCTCTTTGAGCTCTGCTCTCTCTCTCTCTCTCTCTCTTTTTTTTTAAATTCTGTCTGAGAGAAAATTTCAAAGTCTAAAAAATCGCACTTTCGGGACGAACGAGAGCACCCGACCTCGTAAAGTCGACGTGCGCGAATGAACTCCGTGATGAAATAGCGATGGCATCGAGCAATTCGCGAGCACGATCAAATGCAAGTGAAACATTCCCTAAACAATTTATTTATTTTAATTTAACCTCTTGTGGAATTTTGATACGCATGGGCACGTTTCTTTTCATATCAAAATTATCGTTACTTTTAGAGTTAAAACATATACCATATTAAAATGGTACAGTATAAATTCAAAAGAAACCCTTTACACGAGTAATTTATTCATTTAAATTTAACTCTCTAGGGATATTGACAAACATGTATACGTTTTCCCGTACACTACCTCTAACAATGAAAAAATATACCATATTAAAACGAGACTGGATGGATATTTATGTCACCGATTTACAGATAAAAAAATTAGAGGAAAAATAAAATCCATTTAAAATTCGTTCCCCGAGAGGTTAATATTAGGTTGTCCCAAAAGTTTCTTTCGTGAGTTGCGTTCAATTATTTTCTGTGGCAGTGTTTATATAAATAGACAATCTAATTTCATAGATATTCATGTTGTAACAGTAATGAAGCAAAATGAATCGTGCACAATTCAGTAATGTGACATAAATCATAAACTATTGTGCACGTATTACTTATTAATAAAGCGAAAGAAACTTTTGAAACAACCTAATATTTTATTCGAATAATGCTCGATCCCAACTAGGTCATTTATTAATGTACCTGATACACTTATCGATCTAGTTCAATTTTGACTACATAGGACCACTCCACGTGATCCAATAACGCAGCAAGCTAACTCCTTCGACATATTTACCCCCGAAATTTCAAATGTTCGCAGCTGAGCATATTTTGCCTCCGCGCCGGATCCCATCCCTAGGTCTAACCCGGATTAGCGCTAGCGCGGCGCCATTTAATTACGCGACGTTAATCTCGCGGCGCGCGTAACGAGCCACGACTTTGCGAAAAACGACGAGAGTTGGTCGGTTTCCCTGGTGGCTTCGATGAGCAGCGACTCTTGAAGCCCTCTGCACGCTGCGCTGAAATTAAATGTCGCTGGTATATTTTCCACGGGAAAAATAGTTCCCTTCGACCAACGCGGAGTTCGCCTCGAAATAGACTAGGAAATTCAAACGGGGACGAAGAAGACTGGCGAGCTTTCAAACGGGGGTCCTCGAGGCTCGCGTTGCTTTGAGCGGTATAGTAATTAGTAGGGTGGAGACCACCAGACTGGAGAGTGTCTTGAGGAGGACTCTGTATGCGTGGGAGCTTTTATTAGACGCCGTATTAGGATGTTAGGTCTATATCGAATGAAGGTCTTGATGTATACAGTAGCTTAAATGAGCAGAGATCTTAGAACTTGAGGAATTACCTACAATCTGCACCTCCAGACTGGAGAGTGTCTTGAGGAGGATTCTGTATGCGTGGGAGCTTTTATTAGACGCCATATTAGGATGTTAGGTGTATATCGAATGAAGGTCTTGATGTATACAGTAGCTTAAATGAGCAGAGATCTTAGAACTTGAGGAATTACCTACAATCTGCAGGAAGCTCAAGCAATGATAGTTATTAACTAGATAGTTACAATGATAGTGTTTTAATGTTTTGTCGTGTCGGTGCTGGTACGTGTCGTTGCCGGAACGTGACGGTCCGTGTCGTATAGTCTGAATCGACCTTAAACATTCATAAATAAAACATAAACGACCAATGGGAATTATTATAAAAAGCATATTAATATAATTCACAGAAGTGACCAGAAAATCTCACTTGTAACATCCTTACCTATTTCGCTTTCCCAAGTATCTAACCAAATAAGCCTTAAAATTCTCCGAATATTAAAATTGCATAGACTCCAAAGCTTCAGACAACCCTAACAGCAATCTTAAAAAGTCTCCGAAACCTGCGAATATATCCCCCGGAGAAGTCGCCCCAGCAGTAAACAACGATCTCTCAAATTTCTCTCGGACGACAAACCTCTCTCGTCGCGTCTATTCCACGCGAGGGGGCTCATCGAACATGCATGTCTGCAAGAAAGGCGGAAAGAGCCTAGGAAGGAAGGAAGACACGTCGAAGAAAAGAGTGAAAAAGGAGGAAACACAGCATAGGCTTCTATGGCGCGTGTCCAAGTGGCAGCTGATGCACTCCACCTGAAGCCTACGCGTCTGAGGGTTTTGTCTTCGTATAAACGAACGAGTGGCCCCTGCTAGACTATCTCTTTCAAACCCCTCTCCCGTCTTCATTGTTCCTCCCCTGCCCTACCATGACGCGTCGGAGTCAAACGGCGCTTGTCGCCCCCAAAGACAATGGAAGTCTTCGCTGAGGATTTATCGAGGGCGCGAACTGCGAGCGAACTCCGTGAAAAGGCGTTTGTTTTTCGCGACGACGAAGCGAGCCAACGCTCAGTTTTCACCGCTACAGACTTTTCATCCCTCCCAGTTGGCTTTGATACTCTTGCCTTTGGGACCCTTTGAAGCTCGATTTAAAAAAAAAAAAAAAAAAAAAGAATTCATTAGGAAATTGTTTGGGAGGGACTACCAAAGATGGCCGGAGTCCAGTGCGTTAGAAACGAAACGTTTTCATCCCTTTGGCGTAGACGTAACTTTCATAGAGTCGTTGTTTTAGGGTATTTTTAGAGATCGAGTAGAGGTGCGATGAACGACGAAATATATTAGGTCGTCCCAAAAGTTTATTCCGTGACTTGCACTCAATTATTTTGTGTGCTAATGTTTACATAAATAGACAATCTGATTTCTTAGATGTTAATGTTGTAACAGAAATGGAGCAAAATGAATCGTAAGCAATTCAATAACGTAACATTAGACATAAAATAATTGTGAATGCATTACTTATTAATGAAACGGAAGAAACTTTTGGTACAACCTAATATTTCGCCTTTAGTCTACGTTTGCAAAATATTTATTCGTCGGTTTCATTTTCCAAACGTGATATTAATTTGTAATTTTAACGCAGACCCTTATTTAGCATTCAGATTTTCACATTAATTTTCTTACGTTAAATCAAAAACCATTACAGAGAAAAGAAATAATTATTGACCGCATCGTTGCTGAGATATAATTCGAGAGAAAGTTTCCGATTATATTGGGTTGTCCCAAAAGTTTCTTTCGTGAGTTGCGTTCAATTATTTTCTGTGGCAGTGTTTATATAAATAGACAATCTAATTTCTTAGACATTGATGCTGTAACAGTAATGAAGCGAAATGAATCGTACACAATTCAGTAATGTAACATAAAACATAAAATATTGTGTACATATTAATTATTAATAAAACGAAAGAAACTTTCGGGACAACCTAATATTTTTGAACGTGACTGTCTCGAAGCAACTACCTCGAATAGACTCGTTCCGTAATTGTTATTCATATTCTCCAAGACTTCATCTATTCCACCCAACTCAAAGTGTTGGGTCGCGCATAAGCAGATATTATAAACACAAAAACGAATAAAGGGAAACGGTACGGAGGATTGCGAGAGAGGGAGCAGCTGGATGAAGCTAGCATCGCGATCGTGAACCGTTCTGGAACACGGATGCACCCGAGGAGAGACCGAAACGAGCGTTTCTTTGGGAAGAGGATCGCGTTCGAGGGCGGTCGCTGGTTCATAGGAAGAGAAAGAAATTGAAGGATGGTGTGGGGCGGCATTAAAGCCTCCCAAGAGGCGAAACATCTGCCTGTCGGGTGTTTGGGGCACGAGTCCCCCGATGCACGCGTGCTGTTGCCGCGCGTACGCCGTAAAGTGCCACGAAACATGCACCTGGCGGCGCGTCTTCCTTTTTTCTTTTTTTATATATAACCAGGAGTAGCTTCGCCAGTCAAACTCTGGCGATGTGGCAAAGGAAAGACGAGTTACTTATTAGAAACTCTATGGGAGAAGGAATAGAACATTGGAAGAACTATTTTGACATGGATTTAAGAAAGAGCAGAGAAAAGAAAATAATCTTCGATCAAAAGACGGCGAGATTATTTGAACAAGACTCGATTCCGAAATCAAGGGTTATAGACATATTTAGACATATTCATGAAGTACAAGAAACAGATACTGTGTAGTAAAATACCCAGCTCACAATCTAACGGAATAGGGTTAGTTATAGTTAAAAATGGAGAAAGAACGATAGAAGGAATAGCAATATCAGGTAAGTGTTCCATATTCGCTACAGAAATGATAGGGATACACGAAGCTGTACGTAAATGTGTAAATGACGAAGAATACGAAAACTACATAATTCTTACAGACTCTATGTCCTCTATTACAGCACTGCAAAATATCAATGAGAATTTCAAAGAAATTGTTGACAATCCATGGACATACAAAACGTGGAAGTTAGCAAATAGGGAAAACACTGGAAAATTAGTAATAGGATGGATTCCGGGGCACAGCAATATCACAGGAAACGAACTAGCAGATCAAGAAACAAAAAGGCAAACTGAAAGGGTCCATGACACGCAATACAAAGTCCCAGAAAAAGATATTTTAGTAGATCTAAAAGAAGAATTTTGGAATAAGTTCAAAGGAAAGGCAATAGAAATAGGAAGAGAGAAGGGAGCTCTCTTTATGAAAGAAATAGGATCAAATCACAAGAGAGCAAAATATAAACCTTGGTTTATAAAATACAAAGATAAACTAGACAGATCAACAATAAGGACGATCCCAAGGAACAGGTGTAATCACTATAATCTAAGAGCATCGCTTGCAAGGAAAGGGATAGTGGAAGATTGAACTTGTCCATGTGGCCAGGAAGACGAAGACATAGACCACGTCCTATTTGAATGTGGTTTGTACAATGTTGAACGAAACATAATATGGACAAAACTTCAAAAAGAAATTGAAAAAGTGGGGAAGTCAGTAATCGAGTTAATAAAATTACATAAGGTTAAAGTATATAAAACCTTGAACACATTTCTACAAGATATCGATAAGGTATTATAAGAAGAACCAACAAATGGAAAAGGAAGAGTATCGGATAATCAAAAAAGCAAGAAACTGCCAAGCAATATAAAGGAAACGTGATAGATACATATTAAGATAGAAGGAGAAAAACAATATTTTGTTAAGCAAGAAGACTTGAGAAACCAAAACTTAAAAGTACAAGAAAAGTTCCTATCAAGAAAAAAAAACGAGTAGGTCAAGCTACATGCAGTATTATGTACGTACATTTAAATAAAAAGAGAGCTCAATATGAAGACTAAGGAAAAAGTATATATCTCTTTAAAAGGTTCTATTTTTGTTTGTTATACGATAAAATATATATATATATAGGAGTTACTATTCCTACATAAAGTTTATTAGCAAAGTATAGTAAAGAGTATGACAACCTCGACTTACAAATTAAAAAGTTGATTGTTTTTGTTTTCCTTATTGCGGTTAGTCATAAGAAGGATAATAATTAGAAACCCAGCCAGTAAGGATAGAGATTAAGAAGCATTTATGTAAAACGTTTAGAAGAGACAATGTCAAAAGAGAGCAGCACATTGTAGTGCGAAGTACTTCTAAGAATGTACGCACTTTAATTTAATAAACAAACAAGCAAACAAACAAACTCGGGTGCCCTCTTCCGAATGAAGCATTTCGTCGAGAATGCACCCTTTGGTAAGCGTTTCGCGGTGCACGTTTAGCAATTATTCGTCGATGAATAACGCAGATGGAAACGCGGTCAAGTCCCTCGTTATTTCCGTCGAACGTACGGTAGGTCGTCTCGTATGGAAATTTTTCTCTCTATCCTTGTACTCGCGGAGGACAGGTTGATTTCTGCCGATGATACGCGCTAGGTCGGGACATGAATTATTTTATTACACCGGTTGTCGGTTATTCGAAAATTAATTTTGCATTCGTCGAGACCGTTCGTATCGTTGTTCATATAAATTATGAGAATATAGCGGTTAAACGTAACTTCCATTCCCACCAGGGCCCGTTTCGCGTATAAGGACATGCAGCATAATCAAACGTTAGATTCTCACGATTTTTCCGAGCGATTCGAATCCATCAAACGCCGTGTGTTAAATCAATTTATGCAGCTGATTCTTTGGCGTTTCGAACAAGTTAATGCTATCCACTTTTCCTCTTTTTAAAGAAGTGTCGAAGACCGACGATAAGTATAGTAGCAAGCGGCGTCTCGTTAAGATGCGAAGGGGGTAATCACGGTTCGAATTTCAAGCACGCAATGGCGGCTTTCTCGAGATACGTGCTGCAGGTGATCGTTGATGGCCGCGCTTTAAATACAATTCCGTTTGTCCGGAAGCGACTCCTCGTGCAATTCCCTTCCGTTTAAAGCGAGCACAATAGTAGACTGCCCTCGAACAGCAATTCTAAGGAATGAAAGAATCGTGCGAAAATGATACAGCTCCCTATGGGAAAGCGAACTGCGCCATTTTGAAAGAAAAACGGAAGAAAACTGTTCGACGGACTTGAGGTAGACGTGGATTTATTTAATGGAGCATTTTAACAAAATTTCGCTTGATTGATCGCAATTTGGCCACCTCGGTTGGTCATCAAACATGGACATAACCTCACTTCCTGAGCATTGAATTTTTCCTCTTTTGATCCCTCATCTACATAACCTCA